GCGCTCGGGGGAACAGGGACTCCCCCAGCGCCTGCTGATCCCCCCTAACCAGTTTATAACAGGCCACAAGATCCCCCCTCAGTCTTCTTTTTTCAAGGCTGAACAGGTTCAGGTCCCGCAACCTTTCCTCATAGGACCTACCCTGCTGTCCCTTGATCATACAAGTCCTCACATACAATACTGCATCCAGGGTTAGGCCCCACACTTCAAGGATGTGGACAGCCTGGGAAGAGTCCAGGGAAAAGCAACAAAAACAACTCCAGGTCTGGGAAACATAATTTTCTTACATAATTGGTAAGGAAAGGCTGGAATAGCACCACTGCTCAGCCTGGAGAAGAAAAGACTTGGGGATGGGGGGGTGAGAGAAGGTGCGGGGAGAGGGGTTTGGGAACAGTATTTCATATATATCACATGCACACTCACACGCGGGTACGCGTGTGTCATCACAAACACAAGCTCGGCTGATAACTGCCACACACACACACACTTTAAAGAGACAGGACCCCCCTTCAGCAGCTACCTTTCCTGTCGGGTTTGGTGCAGCGCTTGACGAGGCGGATAGAGTCCTTCACAAACTGCCGGCTCGGCTCCACGAACTGCATCACCTGGTCCATAGCTAGCTGACTGTCGCTCGGTCTCTCTCCCTGCCGAAAGCCACGTAGTTCCAAACTCAGCAACCGGAAGCGGAGGCGGAAGTAACGTCAGACGCCCGGAGCCGGAAACGCCGCTCGGCCTGCGCAGAGAGAGAGGAAAACGGAGGGGACTGTGGTGGTGCGCATGCGCGAGCTGGGCTTGCCCAACGTGCAGCTGTTTCCGAGGGGTTTCCCCACGTCGTTACGTCAGCAACGCAGCGCGGTGCGCGCGGGGAGACATGGGGAGGGGCAAATGTCAATGGAAGGTGGTGTGCGGGTACACTGGGGGCTTCAAGGAGGGTCACTACGTCATAAACCCGGCTCGCCCCGCGCGGGAAGAAAAGGGGGGAGGTGGAAGGTGGTGCGCATGCGCAAGCATTAAGTACGCTTCCTAGGAGTGGAGAGGCTGAGGGACGGGGATGGAAGGGGAGGTGGTGCGCATGCGCGAGCGGCTCCCGCCGTTCCCCAGGTGCTTTAAGGGGGAGGGGGAACCTGTGAGGTGGAAGTAACCCCCCACCGAAGACTAAAACGGGGCAGCTCTGGCCTGCTCTTCCTACATTGAGGGTGAGACCTGCTTCTCAGACTTCCTCCTGAGAGAGACAGGGTTCTTTGGGTAGATGTGACATCTCTTATTAGACCAACTAAAGAGTTGGGAAAAAATTGTTCCTTGCAAGCTTTTGGGTACAAACACCTTGCAAAGAACGATTTTTCCAGCTTATTAGTTGGTCTAATAAAAGATAGTACATCTACTCAAGAACCTAGCCTGCCTGCATCCTCAGCCCACCAGGGCTACCACCGACACCCCCAGAAAGTGGCACCCAAGCCACAGGAGCTGGGGTGTTTCACGCCCTCCCCAGTCAGCTGCACTCCCCTTTGCATAGATGCTTCCTGGCTGTGGTGGGCTCTGCTGAAGGAAGCAGAGCGGGCTCCACCTCACCCCCAGGCAGCCCCTAGTGACTAGCCGCTGCCAAAGGGGTCTCAAAAGAGGCCAGAGTCCTTGTCTTTACCCACAACCCTTGAAACAAGCCGAAGTCTCATCTTGTTTCCACCTGATCGAGCTTGTTCCAAATACTAACCCTTCCTCCCCCCAGTCTGCAGCTCTGCCCCATTAGACATCTCATCCATATCATCTGCTAAACAGAGGGGACATGGTGCAAAGTAGTCTGTTTCTGGACCCAAGCATAGATAAAAGGGAGCCACCCAAGGGTGGATCTAGGGTGTTGCATTGCTGCACTTGCACCTTTCCCATTTTGATCCCTGGCCCTATCCAAAGTTTAAAACCACCTGCCTGGCAGAGGCAGCAGCATTGCTAGTCAGGCAATGCTGAGGGAGTCAGTTTGGGCCCACACAACAGAAACAGTGTGGATAAATTGCAGAGAATCCGATGGAGAGCAGTGAAAATGGTGAAGGGGGTTGGGGAGCATGACTTGCAAGGAGAGGCTGAGGGAACTGGGTTTATTTAGTCCAGAAAAGAGAAGACTGAGGAGGGATTTAATAGCAGCTTTCAACTATCTGAAGTGGGGTTCAAAAGAGGATGGAGCTTTTTGGTGGTGGCCGAAAACAGAACAAGGAGCAGTGGTCTCAAGCTGCAGCAAGGGAAGTGTAGGTTAGATATTAGGAAGAATTTTCTCACCAGGAGGGTAGTAAAACACTGGAACAGGGGACCCAGAGAGGTGGTGGAAGCTCCATCCTTGGACGTTTTTAAGACCTGGCTAGACAGAGCCTTGGCCATGATGATTTAGTTGGGGATGGTCCTGTTTTCAGCAGTGGGTTGGACTAGACCAAGGGTGGGTAATTATTTGGGCCCACGGGCCACACAGGGAGATTTGGGGAGCTGTTGCAGGCCGGATCAGCACTCCATCACCTCCTCCCAACAGCTCACCAGATCCCCATGTGGCATGGGGCTGTGGACAGGAGAGGGGGAGCTGGGGCAGCAGGTTCAGCCTCTGGCCTGCTCTTCTATCCTAAGAAGGGGCTCAGGCAGATGCCCTGATCCCTGGGGGAAACTGCCACCTGTGTCCATAGCTGATGCCGGCACCCAGTGCAGGCTGTGCTGGAGGTGCAGGGTGGCTGGGGGTGCGAATGGGAGGGGAAAAAAGAGGGAGACAGAGGGGTGGGCCTGCCGATGATAAGCAGCAGCAGCCGGTACTGGGTAAAAGCAAGGCCTGGCAGCGGGCATGCTTTCTGCTTCTGGGGCCCTTCTGATTGCAGCTACCCAGAACCCATGCTGGGGCTTCCCTGTGGCTCTTCCCCACTGCTGCCACCCCACACCACCTCCAGGCCACCCTGGGTCCATGTGGGTGGTGGTGCCGGCAGCGGGGAGGAGCCACATAGCATTCCCAGCATTGACTCCGGGCAGCCGCTGCCAAAAGGGCCGCAGAAGCAACTAGCATGCCCACTGCCAGGTCCTGCTTTTGCCTGGTGCCCAGAAGGCATCACGGGCACGGCTGCCTCTCTGTCTCCCCCTTCCTCCCCCTCGCCCCGCAACTAACTCCTACACCTCCAGCATGGGCAGCTTACACCAGCTCCCATTCTGTGCATCAGAAGCAGCAGCAAGTGAATGCCAGCATCAGTTGTGAGTGCCAGCATCAACTGCGGATGCAAGCAGCAGCTTCCCCTCAGGGATCGGGGCATCCTCCCAAGTCCACAGGTGATGCTGCCACATCAGTGCATCAGCTGCAGTCCCAGGCAGGCACCGATCCCCAGCAGAAACCTGCAGGCAGCGTCTACAGCTGATACCAGTGTACACCTGGTACTGCTTCTGGCATGTGGGGTGGGAACTGATGTTAGCTGATGGCGCCAGGATGTGCCCACCCACCTAGCACGACACAGCTGCTGGAACCTCTAGCTCCCTATGGACCAGATCCTATGACTTTGCAACCACCAACCTGTGGGCTGGATGCAATCAGTTGGCAGGCCAGATCTGGCCCATGGACCGTATTTTGCCCACCCCTGGACTACATGGTCTCCTGAGGTCCCTTTTAACTCTAATTTTCTATGATTCTGTGGCTTCATCAGCTCATATCTGATCCCTTCTAAACTCTTCATTCCACTGGGTGTTAACCACCCTCTCTTCTTTTTAATGGTCTTGATGTTCTGCCAACCAAGCTAGCTTTAGTTCTGCCATTCTGCTGTCTGTTCATGGCTGCCAGGTAATGCAGCTCCTCTTTCACAACGCTGCAGATTGTTTTGAACTCATTCCAATGAAGTTCTGTTTGTTTTTTACCTCAACCTTCAACTGAATAACACAGCCCCAGGCTCTTAGTGTGTTAGTAAAGCATCCTGTTTATTTTTAACTGGAGAAAAAGGTATTGTTTTTAGATGTGACAATGCACCTCACCATCTGCATCCCCTCCTTTTCAAAATTATAGATTTGCCTTTCCCATTGAGGGCACCATGTGTTTGTGCGGAACCTGATGCTAAATTGTTCATAGGTGGTCTGTTTCTGGGTCAAGTTTTGCACACAGCAGAGCAGCTACCTTGCTCTAAGGTTTAGGAAATAAATAATTGACACAGGCTTTTGTCCCAGATCTCTCCAGTGGAGCGAGGCCCTAGTAGGCACGGAGGATGTGGGAAGGGTGGCACTTCCTTAGAGAGGGTCCAGCTGTTTCTCTCCCTCCTTACAGCCTTCCTGTTGCCTGTACCAGAAGGAGACTTAAGATGTCTCTATAAACCCAAGAGTACTGGGGAGTGGGCTCTCATTAGGGAGATGGTTCTCATTCCCCACACTCTTGCCACTCTGCCTCTTCTCCACTTGTCTGAGCTGAACTGCTGAACTGTTCTATAGATATACAAAGGAGCCCTGTGGGAAGTTGACCTGTAGTCTGGACAACACTTAGAAATATTTTAACTTGATCAACAGGTCAGCACTCGGTCCCCTTCTCCCAACAGTTTACCAGACCTCCCCACGTGGGATGGCGCTGTGGGCGGGAGAGGGGGAGCTGGGGTAGCAGTTTCAGCAGGTTCGGCTCCTGGCCTGACCGTCTATCCTAAGAAGGGGGTCAGGCAGACGCCCAGCACACAGACACACACGCACACAGACACACACACACACACACGGCTTCTGCCCTGTTTGTGTAGGCTCTAAAGCAGGGGTGGGCCTCATCCTGTGCAGTGGCTCTGCTCCATGGATCCTGCCTGGCCTGACAAACCTGGACTGGCTCTACGTGTGGGCAAAGAGGCTGTGGAGTAATGGGTCCAATTCCACCAACTCCTGGTGAACTGGGCAAGGCAGTTGTTGCAGCTCTGGGAAGAGCAAGCCTGATCCTTCACAGGAGCTCTGCTTTCTGTGTCTTGCTGAGCTGGACAAACTCTAGCTCCTTCCTTCAACTCTTTCCCCGCCAGCTAGCCATGGGCAGCTTGTGCTTCTTCATGGCAGCTCTGCAAGCCAGGGTGCTGAATCCCATCCTAGGCTCCAGAGTTTCTTTTCTTTTAGTTTTCCCCACCCACTGTATTGACAGTCCACTTGTCCTGAGAGTCTCCCTGCCCTTCCCCACTGCTAGCACTGCCCTGGAGCAGAAGTGGGGTGGTTGGGGGGAGAATAAAAAAAATAAAACCTATCAGATGAAGTAGAGTGCAATTTACAGTACCCAGGATTTGGAGGCAGCGTCTCTTCCGCATATTAGCCAGGTCCAAGACTGTTTAGTTTCCAAGACCAGATGAGCTCATGTGCATTTAGTCCAATGTGCTAGTAAGTGTCTTTCCATCCTTACTGGGCTATTGAGGGGGACGCTGTGTACTGTTGAGAGCAACCAGCTGAACATCACAGTGTGACCATGCCACTGGTTAAGGTGGAGTGTTAACTGATGAGGTTTTCCTGTCCAGCACCTTGTTGAGTTATCTTCCCTCCCCCCTGTAAGATAAAGATTTAAAACAAGTCTCTCTATGAAAGTTAGCTGTATATGGAGGGTAGATGGAAACATCTCTCCACCAAAAAAAAAAAATCTGACCTTCTGGGCAGTTGTTTATTTTAATTTAGTCTTATGCTTTGAAGCTCATGTTTGTACCAGTATTCAATAACAAAAAAAATTGTCAACAGAAAGTAAATCTAGACACAGAATCCTTCTGATGTGATCATTGTATTGTATGTGCAAGATAACATTACCCTTCCTTTGATGAACAATATTTTGTCTTTGGCTGTAGTTAACACGGCCACTGACCATATCCAAAATAAAGGACATCCTCTTAGTGAGGGTGGAGTGAGATCCACCAGCCCCTCAGCCA